GAGGCGACGTCATTGGTCGGAACGATTAGTTTTAGAAGGGTGACCGTGTCACATGTAGCCCCAACATACAATATCACGTATAGGCAACAAAGGCGACAAAGTGTGTGATACAGAAGTGAATTGTGGTATTGATTAGTAAATGGTTAAAAAACTTAGGGAGTAATCAAAATGGTGTTTGATTACGTGATAATATGCAAAATTACTTCATCCTGTTAATCATAAAATATAACAGAAAATTAAACAGAATTTTATGTACATTCCAAAACAACGGTTATTAATTTCATTCAACTAATAAAATTAATATTAGAAACTTAAAATTGTAACCATGAGTGTAATTTATCTAATAAACACCTAAAAAACAGTAATTTCTGTTCTCTTATTTACCTATAACGGTCTTTTCCAGAAGATTAGTAGATTATTGAAAAGGTCAAAAACTTATCACAGCTTCCTTCGTAACCAAAGATACTTTTACATATTTTATAAAAAATAATATAGACAAAACTGATAAAATATTAAAAGCTGAAGTTTATTTATTAGAATGTAGAGACTGTAACATAATTGTACATTGAACAAACGGGGAAATCCTTTAATCATGGATAAATTAAAGTCCATGAAGTTTTAAACTAAATGTCATTAAACCGAGAAACATCAATTAAACCAGCAAGTTAAAGTATTACAAACGTTGCCTAGAGGAAGTTAGACTACATCCTATAGAAAGCATATGTATTATTAATTAATATAATACATTAAATATTATTGCTAATAATCAAATAAATTCAAATAGGTAGGTAATTCTTCCTTTTTGAATCCTAAGTAATTTAATGTTTCCCCTACTTGCGTCATGTTATAGTTAGTATATAAATATAGAGACAACGTAATTTGTCCTTAATTTTAAAAGTATTTTGTTCACCTGAAGAAGCCAGTGCATGGCGAAACACAAAATTGTTGTAGGGAATTTTAAAATGTAGTGTTTCCTTAAACTTTAATGGAGTTTCAGCACATAACGCCTTCTACTATTAAATATTTGAAAAACAGGCTGTTTACGACGCTTTTTAAGAAACGAAGCCTTAATTACATTATTACATGTAAATCATAGTTGATAAATAAAAACTGATTTCTACAGACTGTGAAAATTATAACATTTTGAATACAATAATTCAAAATCTATGAAGTAATTAAAATAACATTTACTTTATTTTTATCCTATTTATAATTTCAGTTATAAAAATCAATCGAAGATAGATATTTGAAATAAGTAAAATAAAGCCAAAATTTGTGCATATACATACCAAATTTACGTCAACCTCTAATTCCCATAGCCTGTCGTTCATTAATGAGGCATTATTAATTACTATGTCAACACCGCCAAGTTTTGATATTGTCGTCTGGAAAGCCTCTAAAATAAAAACACAAAATTTCAAATTAGTTACGCAATTCTTCTTAAGTAGCAGGTACCTTCGAATTGAGGATAATCAGTAACATCACATGGGCAAAATATTACCCTGTCTTTCGCAATTTTTGAAAGATTATGTACCATTTCATCTCCAGCATCGGAATCTATATCACAAACAGATACCTAGAAATAATTTCACAAAATGTACAATTGTGTTAGTATTAAATCAAACAAATTTTTGCTTATTTAGTGTATACGTCAACGACAATTAAGTACCTAATAAAATTGTCAATTAGTAATAAAATAGAATGTACAGAATACGTGTAAAAAGAGAGCATTTTTTAACAATAGACATTTTAAGCAAGAAGTTAATAATTTATTTGATTTGCATAATTTGCCCATTTTTGGGTTTGTCAATTTGGGTGAAGGTTTTTGGAGGAAGTGAGGTTCATGACCCCTACGACCCCTTGTCCCAGACGGCCACTGTATGTTGAATGTCTTATTAATTGCGTATGGGAGGTGTTAAATCGTGAGATAAAGATAAATAACAACCACTAGTTATGAAGAACTGTATTTATTTACAATGTCACAGAGTCGATGAGAGAACACTGGCCAACTGTAAAAAAAGAAAAAAAAAACTTTTGGGTGTTTCATTTCCACCAGTCAGTAATGCTGGTGGGCGGGCAGTTCCTTCGGACTACGCCGGAAGGTAGGGCGGAAGGCCCTCTTCAGCCTCCTAATTTCAGGAATCGTGGAAATGGGTGGGTGGTGGTTCAGGTGAGAAATATGACGAAGAGAAATGAAGACAGAAGAGAATGAAAGATTATCTGTGGAATATTACTGTCTTAGCATTTGTCTAAGTGATCCAAGGAAACTACAGAAAAACTTGGACCAAGGCAGACGGATCCGGAATCGAACCGGCGTTCTCCCGAATGCTAAGTAATGGTCTAAACCTCTAGGCCATGTCGCTCGGTTGGCCGAATGAAAAACTTTTGGGTGTAATGCTGGTGAGCGGGCAGTCCCTCCGGACTACGCCAGAAGGTAGGGCGGAAGGCCCTCTTCAGCCTGCTTTCAGGAATCGTGGGAATGGGTGGGTGGTGGTTCGGGTGAGAAAGATGAGACGGACGNAGGCGACAAAGTGTGTGATACAGAAGTGAATTGTGGTATTGATTAGTAAATGGTTAAAAAACTTAGGGAGTAATCAAAATGGTGTTTGATTACGTGATAATATGCAAAATTACTTCATCCTGTTAATCATAAAATATAACAGAAAATTAAACAGAATTTTATGTACATTCCAAAACAACGGTTATTAATTTCATTCAACTAATAAAATTAATATTAGAAACTTAAAATTGTAACCATGAGTGTAATTTATCTAATAAACACCTAAAAAACAGTAATTTCTGTTCTCTTATTTACCTATAACGGTCTTTTCCAGAAGATTAGTAGATTATTGAAAAGGTCAAAAACTTATCACAGCTTCCTTCGTAACCAAAGATACTTTTACATATTTTATAAAAAATAATATAGACAAAACTGATAAAATATTAAAAGCTGAAGTTTATTTATTAGAATGTAGAGACTGTAACATAATTGTACATTGAACAAACGGGGAAATCCTTTAATCATGGATAAATTAAAGTCCATGAAGTTTTAAACTAAATGTCATTAAACCGAGAAACATCAATTAAACCAGCAAGTTAAAGTATTACAAACGTTGCCTAGAGGAAGTTAGACTACATCCTATAGAAAGCATATGTATTATTAATTAATATAATACATTAAATATTATTTCTAATAATCAAATAAATTCAAATAGGTAGGTAATTCTTCCTTTTTGAATCCTAAGTAATTTAATGTTTCCCCTACTTGCGTCATGTTATAGTTAGTATATAAATATAGAGACAACGTAATTTGTCCTTAATTTTAAAAGTATTTTGTTCACCTGAAGAAGCCAGTGCATGGCGAAACACAAAATTGTTGTAGGGAATTTTAAAATGTAGTGTTTCCTTAAAGGACGAAATGAAGACAGAAGAGAATGAAAGATTATCTGTGGAATATTACTGCCTCAGTATTTGCCTAGGCGATCCAAGAAAACCACAGAAAAACTTGGACCAAGGCAGCCGGACCCGGAATCGAACCGGCGTCCTCCCGAATGCTAAGCAATGGTCTAAACCTCTAGGACATGCCGCTCGGTATTGACTATTGACCGAATGTGGTGAGCGGGCGTATATATACAAACGGTGAAAGTACGGAGTGGAGGAAAGGAAAGTTCCAGAGAGGAATGTTCTCGAAGGAGAACGCTGAGACCGAGTGTTATGGGCACAGCTACTGGAACTTTCTAGAAACGGCGGAATGTTCGATGCACGCGTTAATACACAACAGGAGGCTCTAAGACTACGGCTGATGAGAGGTGTATTATGTATTATGAAGTGCCTATTTTACACGTGATTCATTTTTATACGGAGTTTCCTTGTATTATTGATATTCTATAAATTTAATTTTTTAGTGGATGTTTCACCCTGTTTCGAAAAATATGTAACTTATCATAAGAAACCATCCGTTCCTTCGATCTTCTTTTACATCTTGATCTCCTTTACGCGTATCTTTCCCATTTCATTTCTTATATCATTTATTTTTCCCTCTATTTTTATAGTGATTGCTACTTGTACTCTCTTTATTATTTTTATTTTCATTTCCTGTTTCATTTCTTAGTAAACTGCTTTTAATTCTTCTTGTCCTATTCTCACGTCATCTTGTACTGCTTTTAATTTTCGCTTCTTGACTGTCTTCGATTTTCTGTTTCATTTTTTCTTGGGCTGTTTTCATCTCTTCTTACCCTTTTNTCAGAAAATGGACGAAATGAAGACAGTAGAGAGCTCTCACTCTCTCTCAATCTACGAAATAATACTACCCCAACATATGCCTAATAAATGATCCAAGGAAACCGCAGAAAGACTTGTACCAGGGCAGATAGACCCGGAATCGAGCCAGTGTCCTCTTTAGACAAAGGAAATAAACAGCTAGAAAAGGTTAATCAAAGTAGAAGACAAACAGTAGAAGTTAATGAACCTGTAGTTTATATACAGAGGAAATCTAGGGCAAGAAAGGATACTCCAAAATTTCAGAAGCTAGAAGTAGAAAGAGTAGATAACAAAAAGATTGAAGGAAAAATTTCTAAGCGACCAACTAACGCGCATATCAGAGCTTTAAGACCTTTCAAGAAAAAATTTCCTTCTTTACAGGATCTTCATCTTGACGATCCCCAACCAGGGCCCAGTCATAGACCAGATTAATTCCCCAGGTTATTATTTGGAAGGACTAGGATCTGCCAAACTTTTGTCACATTATCATAAATTCTATTTTAATTTTAATATTACTCGTGTAGGATTAAGTTATGCAGCAGTAGAAAATGTAGCAGTTATAGATGTCGTAACAAGTGGAGGGCTAACACAAAAATTAATGCGGAGTCTAAAGGATAATTGCGATCAAATTAAAAGTCAGATTAGGAAACTAAAGCACAGAACAAAGAGAGGATTAATTAATTTCCTAGGTACAGCTACTAAATATATCACCGGAAACCCTGTAGCAACGATTTAGCTGAAATTAACAAAAATTTAGATTCTCTCTATAAAAACCAGGAAAACATTGTAAAACAAATGGGAAAATTCTCCTCTTTTACTAATCATCTAACCAACAGATATGCCAATGATTTGAAAGCGATACAAACGAGTCTCGATACTTTTTTTTATCACCTAGATAAAATCAAAAATAATATAAACATTCAAGCAGCCATCGAGTATAATATATACTTAAGTCAAAAACTATTAAATTTCCTATTTGTATCAGAAAGAACCATCTCCTTAGCATTCAATGAAATTACAAACTTGGAACTTTTGACAACATCAGAGCTTTTAGAGATAACCAATCATTTAACAGAGATTTACAAGAACGATG